GTCAGAATATCTTGCTATTAATCCAGAAGATCCCAATTCACATAATAAACGTTTACGCAAAGGAAAATATTCAGGTCTAGAAGATAGTATTTGTCCTGTTAGAAGTAGCATTTTATTATATAAAAGTTCACTAGCGCATCAACATAGTATAGATGAATAACTTTTTTAAGCCGAATTTTTTTTTTTTAAATATATTAACTTCATCTTATCAAAGATTACTTGATAAAACTAACATTTAATAAGACAATGTTTTGTGCCCAAAACAAAGTACATTGGTTTAACAAGTTCTGACAATAGTTCTATTGATAATAATGATAAGTTTAATATCCCGAATAAATAAATTTCCACCGTTGATCGGCGGACCACGAATTAATATCAAGGAAATCCTGTATAATATTTTTTTAGGAATTCTATTAAGGATTCTGCGTGTGATGGAGAAGAATCTCTAACTGAATCCCTATTAATAAAAATCAAAGGCTAAAGCATTACTGATGTATGGAAAAATGTCAAAATTTTGCTAGTTGACGACTTTGTATAAAAAAATGGTATTATACTTTTGTACTTTAAAATGATTTTTTATTTATTTTGCGTAATGAAACTAATGTCAAAGGACATATTTATGTATTTTTTTTCAGGAATATCGAAAAAAAAAACTGTTTACTCTTGGGGATATAAAGATGAGTGAAATTTTTCATATGTAAAATAATTCTTCACTAAATTTATAAAACACCCCGAGTAAAATATTCTTAATACGAGGAACCCATCAAACGAGGAAGGAACCCATCAATAACTTTCAAGTAAGAAACCAAGATAAATTTATTGTAGGTTACTTTTTTGTTCTATAATGTGTCAATATTTTAAGAAATTATAGTGTTTGCTTAATAATCTTAAGAAAAAAATATTAACAAGGACAATCTAGTTGTATACCTATGTCCTCAATTAGTACATCTTGCAACAAGCTTGAATATAAAGTATATAGAAAATTTTACAAAAGATATTCTAGTTTAACTAAACACGAAATAACACAGTCACACAATCAGATAATTTGGCAATTACTTTTATTGTTATTATGATTATTATGACAATTTATTAAGGTAAACAAATATAATAATAATAGTAATTAATTTTATTGTTTGATAATTATGAATACAAAGAATTGGAGAAATAATAATTAACAATAAAGAGATTTATTTATTAATTATAGACCTTTGACACTGTACACCGAGCAAGGTTTGAATATTTCAGAACAAAGCTCCAAAGGGTTGTATTTTCCATATGTAACTATTAGTTATTTTTACATAAGAATACAATTTAGGTTTTAACTTACTGTAGAATTTTAAATCACTCAAAAATTCCCAGAATTTAATTATTTTTTATAAGGACTACTACTTTCAATCCACAATGGGATTGGATTGAGTGAATGAATAGTGACGAGGCTTGGGCATTTTATATACAACCATTAATTATCTTACATAAGGATACAATTTAGGTTTTTAACTTACTGTAGAATTTTAAATCACTCAAAAATTCCCAGGATTGAATTATTTTTTATAAGGACTGCTACTTTCAATTCACAATGGGGTTGGATTGAGGGAAAAAGTAAGTGACAAGGATTTGCATGTTTTAGATTAATATATGGTCATTGGTTATTTTGACATAACAATATGTACATTAATTAACTACATCAAATTGTTAAAGATAGTTGCCTTAATATTAAGAAATTTGTTTTTGGTTTAAACATTTTATATATATAATTTATTTATTTATATGATTTATTATTATTATTGCTCACATTCAAAAAAAATAATAATTGCTTTTTTTTATTTTTTGCAATACATAAAATTTCATACAAGTAACAATTTGATTAAATCAAGCAAGTTTGTGTATGAGATTTTTTTCTTCATTTTTTCAAAAAAATTTAGGGCGATTCTTGATGATCTCAAAAAAATTTGGGTGACTTTTCCTATAGTCGATATGTATTACTATTTACTATTCATAATTGAATGATTGATAAACAAATAAATAAAAAAGTTTTTTTCTCGATATTTATGAATTGATTGTTTATTAGATTATTATAATAATAAATTAATGAATGAAACAAACTAGTTAGAATTATAATTAAGAAATTATGAAGCATTGTTTTAATTAATTAGAGCTTGCACTTTCAGCTGCTTGTTTTTGTAATGTTGATTAAATCTAGATATTATTTTTTTCAAACTATTCCAAAACTCTGAATTATTTTCGAAAATTTGAAATTCCGATACTGTTTTTAAACTTTAAACAACTATTTTGAAACTCTGAAATTGCTTTTAAATCCCGAAACTCTTTTAAAATTTCGAATCTCCAAAACTTAAAAATGAAAAATAACAGATACCATGAGTAATTAATGCAAGAAAGAGTTCGATTAAATCTTTTTCAAAAACGTTGCAAAAAAAAATTTAAAAAAATTATCACGTGACGGGATGTGGTGCAGTTCATTTTATAGTGAAAGTCACTTAGTCCCACAACTTTCTGTGCCACGCCGCCAATTTTGAGAAAAAATTTACATGATTTTTGAAAATTGTCAAGTGCTAATTCTCTTCCCGTTCATCTGGAAAATTCACGTGACAAAAGATCTGCAATATAAGGGAAATTTTTCAAATTTTTATTTTGTTTCAATTC